GTCTACCTGAAAATTCATTTTCTCTTCAAACAGTATTTTTCCTTCAAGAATCTCACTGGGATCAGAGTCCTAATTCTATTACTGAGCATCTTAGGAACCAGCAGTATCTTTGTGAGTTAAGGAGCCTTCTGTCTGCCCAAACATTGTAAAGTTAAATGTTTAATTTACATTCTTCTAGCAATGTAAGAATAGCACCAATCATGGACTCAGATGTCTGTCTTAAGGCTCAAAGACAGGTGGACTATGCTTCCTGGCTTTTCTTCAGGTTGATTTGCCTTACACCCTGTTGGCTCCAATGAACAGCCTCTTCCCTTCTAAATCCTTTATTCTTCCCCATTCTTATAGACTAAAAGCCTGGAATATTCCCACAGGGTTTCAGGATGCTGATTCACTGTTTTTTTAAAAAAATATTTAGTTATTAGCTGTAGTTGGATACAATATCTTTAATTAATTAATTTATTTTTATGTGGTGCTGAGGATTGAACCCAGGGCCTCACCCATGCTATTTGAGTGCTCTACTGCTGAGCCACAACCCCAGCCCCTGATTTACTAATTTGTTCAACAAATATTTATTGAATACATACTCTGTTTCAGGCACAGATTTAGATGGTAAGAAAAAAAGAGAGTCTCAGCCTTCATGGATCTTGTATTGTAGTAGGGGGAAAAGATAATAAGCAAATAAAAATATGAAAATTACAATATTTGATTTAAAACAGTGTAAAGATAGTTGAAACCATTTGTAATGTCAGCATTAATCAGTAATTTAAACTTTAAGTGGGGTATAAACCTAAGAACTGGTTTTATGAGAAAGGTGAACTGAAGAGGAGAGAAGTAAGGAAAAGAAAGAGTGGGAAATGTAAGATTTAGGAAAACTGACTTTCTGAATTTTGATATGTTCTTTATCTTTAAAATATAAATGCTGGCTTGGCCTTCTTACTCTCAGTAAAAAAGCAGAGCCTCCTTAAGAGAACTTTATTCCTTCCCTGTGCAAAAAGGAACAGAGTGCCCCAAATGCACGTATGTCAGCTGCGTTGACAGTAGGAGAATGAGCAATAATGCTTCAGGAAATGAGTTCTTTAACAAAATCAAAAGGAAGAGGGTGGCCTCAGCTCACTGCCTTCAGGTGCTATGGCCTTAATATTTCAGATCTTGGGGAAGAAGGGAAGAAATTTGACAAGCTTTAGGCAGTGTCTGCCAGTGAGAAGTCTGAGTTTCCAGGCAAATTAAGGAGAATATTGGCTTTTCAATTAAAATACTTAATTCTGTGATATCCATAAAAAGTGAGTGAAGAGCAAGATAAAAGGAGATAAAAATTGTTCACATTTTAGTATACTGCTGTACATACCCATCTTATTTGGTGCAATTTCTGCATATCTGTACAAAAACAGTATCATTTCTTTTTTCTCCCAAGCTCACATTTTTTTAAAAAAAATTATGAAATGGCTTTAAAAAAACAAATGAGGTGGTAGTTTGGGGGTTCTGGACTAGGAAGAGTAAAATGGAATGTTCTGGGGTGATGGGAATGTTGTAAATCTGGATCATTGTTTATTACCTGGGCAGATATAGATGTAAAAAGTCATCACACTGTAAGATTTGTATAGTTTTACTATATTTAATGTATACTTCAAAGGAAAAACAAGTAAAGGGAAAACCTAGATTTTAGACCTTCAGATGTGTGGTCAAGTATATGTCATATATCATGGGCTCTGAAGCTCATGCAGGACTGATTAGATCCTTACAGACTCTTCTGATTCACTCAGCTGATGATATCACTTAACAAACTGTGGAGTTGTTAATTCTTCTCATTATTGGCACCCATTGGATTCCAATACAAAACCTATCTAGAAAGGAAAAATTAGAAAAATAAGGAAGAAAAAAATATCCACTGTGTTCTCAGCTTAAATATTTAGGAAAAGTTTCATGCCCATTGGGAATTTCTCTCAGTGGGGTTAATAATTTTGAACCCTAAAAGAATGGGTCCCTGTAGGATTGTTATATCTGCCATAAAGGTAGGAATAATTGTGCGTGAGACCTTTGCTCCCTGAATAAATGTGAAAAGTTCACTTTTCAAAAGAATCAGAAACAGCAAGCCTAAGATTAGTAATATTTAGGCTGAGTAGTTTCCAATAGCAAATAATAAACATTTGAATTCCATGCTGCATGTTCTTTTAAGCTGTATTAATTTCCACCAATATTATTTTCTAATTTCTCAAAGATAAGCTTTACAAAATTATAATGAAATTTCCACATTTTCTCTTTTTGATTTACTTAAATTGTCCATAAACTATCTGATTATTTTCATATGATATACATATTTTAGTTTTTTAAGTTTGTTCCTTTGTAAATTGACAAGTTATAATTTTTTATACAGGGTACATAGTGATGTTATGATTTATGAATACAATGTGGAATAATTAAATCAAGTTAATCAACTTATTTATAACCTCAAATATTTATTTTCTTTGAAGACAACATTTAAAATTTACTCTTAGCAATTTTGAAATGTACATCATTATTTGTTATATTCACAACACTGTGCAGTATAACTCAAAAGAAAAATCTATCTTCCTAATGAAGAATATAAACCCTTTTGTAGTACTATTTACAATAATCAAGTTATGGAACAGAGTATTTTTGTATGATGAAAATATTTCCTCTTTAAAAAATAGAAAAAAGGGGCTGGGGTTGTGGGTCAACAGTAGAGCACTCACTTCACATGTGCGAGGCCCTGGGTTCGATCTTCAGCACCACATAAAAATAAATAAATAAAATAAAGGTGTTGTGTCCAACTACAACTAAAAAATATTTAAAAAATTTGAAATATGTAAAGAAAAAGAAAAGAAAAAATAGATTCTCGTTATGTTAATAATAATTTTAAGTCCATGGATCCTTTTTGAGTTTTTTCTCCCCTTAATAAAGTCAACTATATTTTTGTTAGAGATTTTCATTATGCTTCTTTTAATCTGCTTTTATTTTAAAGAGTTTATCTGTTAATCTTAATAAAATAGTGTTTTAAAAAATTAAAGTGTTCATGCCAGGGAAAAATAATTAATAATCTATATAGGTATATCTACAAATGAACTCCACAAATGACAAAGATTCTTTTTTCCTGTCTAAAATGTTGTTTTAGGTCACTTGTTTAGAACACAAAACCATTTTTTTCCCTTTAGAATCATGGTGGTTGGGCCTTCTTCTGAAGAGCTCATAGAAGATAGCTCATTTATTTAGCAATGAAGGTGAAATATTATGTATTCAATAATAATGAGATTAATAGCAAAAACACTGAATAGAAGATAATTGTATGATTTTATCTTTCAGCTAGTGAAAAAAGCCACATTTATTTACATGAAGACAAGAAAGTTAATAAATAGGCTGGGGTTGTAGGTCAGTGGCAGAGCACTTGCCTTGCACATGTGAGGTACAGGGTTTGCCCCTCAGCACCACATAAAAATAAATAAACAAAGATATTGTGTTCATGTATAACTAAAAATATTTTTAAAAAAGAAAGTTAATAAATAGATTTTATGGATAGTTTCAAATAACCTATACTCGTCATTGGAGACAGTATGGAATGAAGAATAAAAACAAACTGTGAATCATTCCACCAACCAGAAATATCTACTCTTAATGTAGTGATGTGTTTATATCTGTGAAAACAGATTTTTACATAATTGTGATCAACTGCACTATGTTGTGTCTTGCTTTTCGTAGTCATTGTTGTATTTTAATGACTTTGAAGATCATCAGCATGGATTCTTTGTCTAATTTTGCTTCAAATTCCAAAACCTTTCTTGCTTTAAAAAGTGTGCCACATTTTTGTTTTTGTTTTTGTTTTGCTCAAATAGAATGTAAAGTGAAGGAGAAAAATAGAGAGGAACCAGGAGGATGAGAATAAGCATAACTGCAAGAGAGAGTTTGGGTCAAAGTGTGACAGTCAGTGAGGTTTTTGGATTTAAAAATATTTGAGACACAGTGAACATAATTTGGGGCAGTGAACCTGAGAATAACGGAATTCTAATATTAGAGTAAAATGGGAATAAACATCATCCTATCTCATCATTTGATTGATGAGGAAACAAATGTTTAGCAAGTTTAATATCTTCCTGAGGATGCTGAGATAGTTTGAGGCAATATTGGGAAGAGAAAATAGATCTAATAATCCTCAATCTTAATTTCCTTGTTTGAGAGAAAAGCAAAGCAAAATGTGTGCATCATCTGCTTAAAGAATACAAGGGAAATGATGGAAAAGAGATGGAAGCCAACATTCTGATATAAGGCTCAGCCTGAGTTGGCTCAAACACTGAAAAATTGAGAAAAGGGGAAAGGGAATAGTGTAGCCCCTACTAAGTACAGAGAAGCAAAGACTATGCAAACCACCATCTTTAAATGGATTTTTCTAGCTTAAGGACTACTAGCTCCAGAACTGTCAAAGCTCTACAATGAATGCTACATTCATTGTATGCTATATTGTTATGCTATATTGTTTACCCATCTATGTGGATTAGTAAATGAAAAGCCTGTGAAATTAATTATTTGCTAGAAGGTGAATTAATGCTTATTACATCATTTATTGTTCTTAAGGCAAAGTCTACACATCCAGGTATCCAGAATATAATTCTAAAATAGTATAAACCTTATGTCTTTTGTATATCAGTATGGGTAAGAGCACATTATTTGTGTTACATCATTTCTCAGTGGTCTTGCTTATTCTAGAGTAAACTTGAGACTGGCATCATTAGTGAGGACAGGGAAAAGTAGAAAGAGTCAAAGGCTGGAAGAGGGGAAATAGAATGCAAAGAGTTCTGATTAAATACTATAATATCTAAAAATATTACCAATGACTACTCTTCATTTGAAAAACAGAAAGTACTACCATGAGTGAGAACTTAAATTTCAGTATTTGAATCAATACATTTTGATAAATGTCAAATAGATTTCTGTTTCTGAAGAATTAGACCTTATGGATTTAAAACTGGTTTTCATATTTTTTCTTTGCTAAGACTCACGTTGACCTTATCATGTCCCATGGACTTGAAGAACTTCCCAATGGATGTCCAGACCTGTACAATGCAGCTGGAGAGTTGTAAGTCACAATTATTGAAATGACTGCCTGCTTGTTTTAACAAAAAACCTGGTGCTTTTAGTGTCATTAAGGGAAAAAGACCTATAAGACTCATTCTCTGCCTACTTACCAACACTCCTAGTCCTAAAGAAAGGACAAGCAAATTTGTGTACATGTCTCATAGGAGAAGCTCATTATCAATATAGCACAGATAACCCCCCAATCTAAAATGCCAAGTAACTTGCCCTTCCTCAAAAAAAAAAAAAAAATTCTGACTTAGTAAGTTTTTCCTTGAAATGATAATGTCTCCTAGGAAAATCAAGATTATTATTCATTCAACTTTTATAATGATTCACTCTCTAATCAGAAAATCATATTTCTTTCCAACTTATGCCCATATAGACCATCAATCCCAAGGGAATTCTGGCAGGAAAGGATGTTTTCTTTCAGAACAGGACACAGGAGCCTTAGTCAGAAGAGGATGCAAGAACAAGGGGTATGAGATGAGATGGTAAAGAGAAAAAAGTATCTTCTTAGATAAGCAATGGATACAAAAAGGCATGGTGAAGGAAGTAGGAAAGTGACATCAACGTTGTTCCCTTTATGCCCTAGCTCTAATGCCAATGAAATCTTTGACATGAGCCATAAGTTGCTGATGCCTCCAAGGTAATGGGCTTTTCAGTTAAGAGACACAGAATTTTTCTGACTGGCTCTGTCAGTTTGTTTGTTTGTAGAACGCAAAGAATAATAAGTGCTATTGACCTACAGGAATGTTAGAAGATTTAATGAGGCACGGGCAAGAAAATACTTTTAACTTCTTGGTTTTGAAAAATAATAAGTGTAAAAAGACACATCAACTATTATTAAAAAAAGAAATGGTGACAGGGTTTCTTTCTGATCATTTAAAATCACTGTAGATTTCCCTTGAAACTTCCTACAGAAATAAACAAAATAATGAAACATCTTTGTTTTAAGAAGTTGTCAGAGATAAAATGAGAATTTATGAATTATAATAGACTTTATGCATTCATTTTTCCCTATTGCCTCTTATCTTGAAAAAAAGGTTAAGAAAAATACTTTTTTTAACATAATGATTCCTTCTTTGTCTCTTTTCTAATACTTCATATTCTCCTCTGCCTCAAAAATGATACTTTTCTCTGTAAAACAGCAGACATAGCAACTAACTCAGGCTCATCCAAGGCTTAAAATGCTTCAAAAAGTAAATATGCTTCATCTTTGCAGACTCAGATATAATGAAATCAAAGAAACAGCAAGGTTCATATTACTAACTTTGGAAGCAAAGGGTAGGAATTACTCTTTACTTTGCTACCCCAATATTACCTCCTCTTTCTCCATCTCTTTACCTCTTCTGTCTGCCCTATGCTGAGATTTCAGGGGGCTGACAAGGACAATTATTATGGTAGGCATTAAGAAGCTCACATGATAGGGACATGGGGTATTTGGTAAGCTCCAAGTATTTGTTGGAGGCACTTGGGTTGTATTCCCCCAGAACTGCAGTGGAAAAGATGGTTAGCCGTTCTCTTTGTAGGCTATCAGTACTTGCACATGACCCTCTTTGCAGTTCCTTGCTTTCTGTTTTTATATTTTGGTTTTAAATTTAAAAGATAATCAAAAGAAAGAGGAAAGTAGATTCCAATTAAATTTGCCATTGATTTTTGGGTAGCTCTGGTGAGTCACTATCTTTCAGTAAACAACAATGAGAATCTATAAACTTAATAAGTATGCTGAAGTTATTGGCTAGTCAAAACTTCACATAATATCCTTTGTTCCCATCACCCTCATTTTTAAGAGTTCAAATATCACTAACAAAAGGTAGAGAAATAATGCATGAAATAAGAATAGCCGTCAATTCTGGAATGGAGAAAGGTACAGAGGCACTTGACAAATAAAGGACTGGTTAACAGGAACATGGAGAATAACAGCTAACATTGGTTTGCTGAACTGTTAACTATCTTACTTTGGATGGTTCAAGTAATATAACAATATGACCTTACACAATAGAGAGTCTGTTTTACTTTATATTAACTGAGATGAGTAGGCCTATTTATCAAGACATTGGCACAAATGAATATTCTTAAATTGCATATCCTACAACTTCCTCTTTCCTTACCTGCCTATAGCCTTGCTTAGTTGCTGAGGTAGCTGAGATTTGACCATAAATATTTAACATAAGTTTTCTGAAAGAAAAACTAACAGACCTCAGAACAGGGGCCAAGTATGCAATGAGAATGCTTTAGGCAGACACATTATTAATTTATTCTTATTTAAAAAAAAAAATCAGAGTGATTTCAATTGAAATACTAAGACTAGAGCCATGAATTGAATTGTTTTATTGGATTGTCCCAGACACATCTCTTTCAAGTAAAGACAATCTTCAAATGATTTTTATGTTTGTTTATTTGTTCTTCAGAAAGTGTTAGTGAATAAAGAGGCAAAGAAAATACTTTATAGATTCCATTCTCTCATTACACAGAAAATCATCCAGAAATAGCTTGCTGTCTTCAATTTCTTTGGTTCTAATGACATGTAGTTGTGATGATTACAGCCCTCTTATTAAGAATGCTCTTAAAATGATTGAGCATGTTTTTGCTTTAGATGACTTCCTTGTTTGTTTCTTTACATGGCTAGACTTTTAATCTTGCTATGAATAGATAAATTCAGGTTTTCACTGTGATTTCTTTACTCCAGTTGGGTACACAATGAATGACCTGATATTTGAGTGGTTAAGTGATGGTCCAGTGCAAGTTGCTGAAGGATTGACTCTGCCCCAGTTTATTTTGAAAGAAGAGAAGGAACTTGGCTACTGCACAAAGCACTACAACACTGGTAAGTTTTCTCCCAGCTGCTAAGCCCAAGTGGGCTCCTTTTGCTTCTTGGAGAATATATCATTTCACCTTAATCACTACATTTTTACCAAGAAAATAGAGTTCAAAACTCCTCAATAGATAAGATTCCGGTACCCTCTGGAATAGGTTACTGAACATAATAGATAATTTTTCTAAATCATCTAGAGAAAGAGAGATAATTCGTAATCTTTTGCTATTCTCTTGCAGAACATCTATTAGATGAGTCTGAAGAAAGGTGTAGGTCGAGATCTAATTGGTGGTGCAGGAAACATGAATTCTTGCCCCTTCCTGGCATCCACTCTTGACATTGGATTCACAGATCAATTTGCACTTCCTGCCTTAGTGGAAGAGAGGAATAATAACATAGGTTTTTGTAAACCCAGAAATAGAGCTGTTGTGCTGTTTAGTCCTGAACAGTAATAGGAGTTTGGATGAAAATCAGAGGGAATTCTGCCACATCTAAAGTCATATGTTATCAGTAATGCTGATAGGCACATATGGGGGTAGGGAGACAGTGAGAATTTGAGGTGGTAGCAACAAATAGGAATTTGCTATTGCCTAGAAGATTATACCTGCCCAGTAAAGTTGATGGCTTTTCCTATGAACATCCTGGGAAAAGAGGCTGATTATAACGAGGCAATCAAGAGGGCCAGGTGTGGTGGCATACATCTATGATCCCAGTGGCTCAGGAGGCTGATACAGGAGGATTCTGAGTTCAAAGCCAGCCTCAACAACTTAGTGAGGCCCTAAGAAACTCAGTGAGATCCTGTCTCTAAATAAACTATAAAAAAGGGCTATGGATGTAGCTCAGTGGTTAAGGCCCCTGGGTTCAATTCCCAGTACCAGAAAAAAAAAAGGCAAGCAAGGCATTATTCAGTGACTGGTCTAGATCCTTTGCTCAGGAGAATTGTCCATGAACTCCTGTTCCAGAAGTCAACAGTGACTTTCTATGAAGTAACTGATTCCACAGTATTCTTCCTGACCAAGAAGAATTCAACCCTATCTCTTATAATTTGTATGGAATAGGCACAACTAATTTCTGGAATTCTAATTCCAAGTCAATCAAAGAAGGTAAAAAGTAGGAAGACGCAGGAATATCTACCTTCTAATAGTATGTTGAAGTTTTAATATATCTACACATACTCTTTTTCGTAAGGAAAGTAACACCAACAAATAGCTCCTAGGAATAGTCAAAAGGTCCTCAAACAATTACCCAAAAGTCTAGGAAATTTTTACAATGACTAGACTATATGTGGTTTATAAAAATGTATATTTTCTCTTGCCATTAATAACATAAGAATCGACACACAGTTATTCAAATATTGTTGGGTATCATTTTACTGCTTAGGAGTTTTGGTTTCAACCATTACATATTATATAGCATATGTATATATTACATATATCCTATGGGTTCTATTATGCTGTAGGTTCTATATTATGTGCTATATATCATAACCCCACGTATTTTGAATATTTTATTTCCCCTGGCCAGTTTATGTCAGTCTTGCAAACTCTGAAGCTCTGTCTAAAATAATCAAGCTGCAAGAACAGATTTGAAAATTAAATGTGCCATGCGTTTTTAGTCCAGTGACTGATTAGATCACTCCTTCTCACTATTATTTCAATTACTAGTTGAATTGGAGAGATGTTGACTTGGTTACATAGGGTGAATATTTTGGGAAATATTCCAAATCTGTCTGCAATATCATTTTAAAAATAAAGTAGGATACTGGAATGGGACAGATAAATTCAAATTATATTTTAAATGATCACTTCATGTTTTCAGGAAAGTTTACCTGCATCGAGGTCAAGTTTCACCTAGAACGCCAGATGGGATATTATTTGATCCAGATGTATATCCCCAGCCTGTTGATAGTCATTTTGTCCTGGGTCTCCTTTTGGATAAACATGGATGCAGCCCCTGCCAGGGTTGCACTGGGCATCACCACAGTCTTAACAATGACAACCCAGAGTTCAGGTTCCAGGGCTTCTTTGCCAAAGGTAAGAAATTTCACTTAACTAATAACCTGAGAGTTTCACCAAAGTTTTTATGGGCTGGAGAATTCTTCAAGGACAGAAATTTTGCAATCCTATAGCACAGTTGAAAATGCAAGTGTAATAAGACAATGAGGAACTGAGAGAGTATCAGGTCTCTGAGGATATGGGTAACCCTCAAAATCAACTCAGTTAAGAATTGGGGTTGACAGAGAAGAGGAATGGAGGGGGGAGGTACAAACATGGCTTGGAAATTCTAAGAAGTCCTGGAGTACTTTCGACATTGGATATTTATGAGCCAAGAACTGGAGTAGGATTGGTGTAACTTATATTGTCAACTATTGTGAGGGTATTGTGATTCATATGCTCAGTGAAATCAGTTACAGTAAAAAAAAAAAGCTTGAATTAAGTTCCTAGAAATTTATATCAGAAAATCATATCAATGTTGTGTGTATGTATGTAAAACAAATAGACATTTTTTAGCATCTCAAACAATGATACCTAAGTGGCTATGCAATCCATTTTTATGTAAGATAGGCCTTCTGTATTTGTAAATGTTGCTTAAATAAGTATGATAAATGTACTACTTGTGAAATGCCCCAGGACCCCTGAAGTATGCCTATGCATGCTTCCCCCTTTTATAGGGTACATTGAGCCACTAGCTTGAATTTTCTGGGAGTGTGAGTTTGATTTAGCATTCAGTGTACATTGTTTCATAATGGTTGGTGGTCTTTCCAAAATCCAGTTCCATAAAGTAATTGAGATGTAATTCCATATCTTTGCTGGTTTGAGCTTATGTTCAGCTGTGCTATAATTGACATGATGATAAATGCTAAATCATGTTCCATATTATTGCCCATGTTTGGAACATAAGATGACAATATAGAGGTCCATGAATATAACAGAATTGTACTAAATACTGGGGAAATAGTTACACAACTTATTAAGTCTCATACCTCTAAATATAAATATTAGATTTTGTATACACATAGAAAAACAAATAGAGCTGTCTCAGATACTTTATCTTTTACAACAACAAATAGTATAATGTACTTATGTCATATGTCTACTGGGGTACAGATGTCAGAAATACTAAAACCTTTTTTAGCTACATAATCACAGATCAATTTTACCAAATACAAATTTTAATCTACTCTGTTCTCCCTCCAAAAGAGGTTCATTTGCTTATTTATCTCTAGCTGTTAGTTACTGTCATCACTGCATTCCATGCCATTAAACTTCAGAATGCACAAACATATATTTTACAATTTAATAGACAGCCAAAGTATTAATGACAAATTGTGAGCAGATAATGTCAAAACATAAGACATTTAGCCTCCAACTATCCATTGTTATGAAAAGAGAGTCACTTATTTTCAAAATGAAAGCTTAAGTTTTTACAAATTTGTTGTTCAGTCTATGAAGCTATTATGATTCTGCATCAACAGTCAAAACTATTGCTAAATAAATGGTTTCTGATCAGTGATCTTTTTATGTGGAAGCAATCAGGAACTCAGATAAACTCAAAGAGGGTACAATAAAAATCATTTTTTGCTTGGCTCTGAATTTGTAGTGGTTATCCTTTTGCCACCAACAAGTTTATCTTCCTACGTGTACTTTTCTTATGTTATTATTAAACAAGGTTGGCTCTCAACTGACCATGAGGAGATGTGACTCATATGAATGACGATGAGAAACCAAAATGGGATAAAAAGTGAGTCATGGGAAACAAAGAATTGACCATATGCTTACTTATACATACATATACATATAAATACTGATTTTAATTTATGAACACTGAAATCTCTGACCAGATGCTTTACTGTGCTAATTGTACAATTGCTCCAGGGCCTACTATAAAACCCTGTACAAAGTATGTATGCATGCTGCACTTGAAAATTAAGGAATTCTTATTCTAGAAAAAATAGACAACATCATTAATGTTACCAACCAGTAAATAACTGTTGTTAAATACTTTGGTGTGTTTAATTCCAGCCATTTTTTTTTCTATTTGCAATTGAGGGCAAACCTGCTTACATGTACACAAAGAAAAATGAGATCAAACTTTTATATAGTTTCCATATTATGTGCTATTTCCCATGGCATTAACAAAAATCTCTCTTGAACATTTTTTTCTTCCTTTTTATGGTGATTGGGATTGAACCCAGGGCCCCACACATGCTAGGCAAGCACTTTACCACTGGGCTATATGCTCAGCCCATGAGCATAATTTTTTTTTTGCTTCAAGCTTTTATTTTTTATTGTTTTTTTAAAGTTATAAATATAATAGAATAATTGTCTACCTGATATATTAATCATTATTTACTATCTTAGATATTCCGAGGGGTTTTTGCTTTTCTAAATAAGATCATTTTATTTTTTATTTTTCTTTTTTTTTTTTTAATTTTTTTTTAATTGGTTGTTAAAAACATTATAAAGCTCTTGACATATCATATTTCATACATTAGATTCAAGTTGGTTATGAACTCCCAATTTTACCCCAAATACAGATTGCAGAATCACATCGGTTACACATCCACATTTTTACATAATACCCTATTAGTAACTGTTGTATTCTGCTACCTTTCCTATCCTCTACCATCCCCCCTCCCTCCCCTCCCATCTTCTCTCTCTACCCCATCCACTGTAATTCATATCTCTCCTTGTTTATTTTCCCATTCCCCTCACAACCTCTTATATGTACTTTTGTATAACAATGAGGATCATTTTAAATACATTTGTATTTGAGTGTGTCTTATTGTGCTCCAAAAGACATATGTAGAGTTTAAATTTTTAACTTCAATGAGAAGAAAAGGGGAACCGATGATGATTAGAGTGAATATCTATGGGAAGTTGATCAATCGGATGCATGTTCCATATAGGCCGGAACTTTGTCTTGTTTAGTGAGTTAAGTTCAATACCTAGGACAATATGTGGCTTAGACTAGATGATCAATAAATCTGCATCCATCAGATGAATAAATAAGTTCATTAATAGCCATGTTTCCTCATGTGAGACCATGTACATGATAAAGGAGACCTACAACAGAATCCACAAGTAAGATGTTACAGGAAAACATAGTTTTGATATATGGAAACATCTCATAAAAATATGACATATACTATAAAAAATGGAATTTAGCTGATGGAGTAGATTCTCCTTTCCTGAAATTCTTAAGTTGACATTGGGAAGTTTGGAATATATGCATAAAGATAAATTTTTAAATATAGGTAGACCTGGATATAAATCTTGGATCCTTTCACTCCACTCAACTTCCCTTAGCCTGTTTCTTCATTTTTAAAATAAGAACACGATTATCCACCCCTTTCAAAAATTAAATGAAATAAGACCTACCTTTATAAACTATTTAGCCATGTTTTTGTACATGGCAGGCATTGAACTTTTTCTGGTTATTTTTGTTGTTACAGATCCCTGTCCATAATGTAGTAGAAAAGACTGCTCTGAGATAGGAGGTTACATTAGAATTTTCAAGAAGCACCTTATGTTTTGAGATTGTCCATTATTTGGATATAGTCATGCTGCCAATGAGATGTACCAAAGTTTATTATATGTACTTATGTATACTAAATATTTATGCATTCTATATATTTATGCATGTATACTTACATGCATGTGTTTCTCACAGGTACTCAGTCTATTGAATGGGTTAAGCTCTAGAGGGTCTGAATAAGCGATGGCCATGTTTTTCTCCAGTCATCGCCATTAAACATCTTCAATTGACTTGTCTTCCCTTGGGGAACGTTTGATGAATCCATAGATTTTCAGTCACTATATTCCATGTCATTAGACCCAAAATGCATAAACATGTATTTTACCATAGACAGCTAAAGCATTGGTGATGAATACTTTAGGAAAATCCATTATCAGATCTTTAAGAAATCATCAGTCTAAAACAAAACTTCAGTCTCACAAGTCACTTCAATGCCCTTTCCCTCCCTTGCCCACAGCTTAGGCCTGACCTTTGTCTTGAAGATGTGCAGCAATGTGGAGCACATTACCTGTTCCTTCAGTTCTTCCCCTTGCATTTCCAATTCTTTTCTCTACTCCTGTTGCCAATTTGATCATTGATGAGGGCTGAGGGTAAAAAGGATAGAAGAAAGTTTCATGTAACTAGCAATAAATCCTATATAATTTCTTACTCCTAGGATCCTACTCAGGCAGGCAGCCCTCCCAGTTGATATGCTTCCAAGATGTCTCACATTTGGCTATCTTCTGTACCATCTATGGTCCACTAAGAACTCGTCCATTCTTGCCTTGTTAAATTGTGCACATACAACTTAAACAATTACTATTTCTTCTGCTTTTACCCCACTGTCCTGGGTATTCCAGGTAACCCACTTTCTTCAGAATTTATCCAGGTAAGAAACAAGTATTGGTGTTCATATTTTTATACAAACCCAAAATTGCTGAGGATACACGAGAGAATTTCCTAAGAACTCTTTCACTCTATGATCCAGGGGCAGCTTATTGGAATTTCAGAAGTTCAGCAAATATGTGGCATGTGGGGGATAAGCCAGTCACTGTCTTCTCTCATTCCATAGTACTCTCAACACCCACAAATTCCATTACTTCAGTTAATTATTTTCAAATGTTTAGTTTTCTGTAATAACACAGCTATAGGTATAATGGTCTCTAGATAGTATGTGCTCCCTTCTAGGAAGTCCAGCATCCTATATGCAGATGTGGAAAATATCCCTTTGCTGTAAGGCTTTATTAGAAATCCTGAAGCAACAAAAATATCCTATTTCCAAACTGTTACACTTAGAAATAAGCATTCTTAATTTTAGACTTTTATCTCTATGAGGGCAATGACTTCATTGATTTTGTTCATATGTACATACCTACTTATTAGCACAAAACCTAGGTCATAGTAGGCATTCACTAAAATATTGCTTTCTGAATTAATGAACAGTATTGAAAATACTTATAGTCAGGTGCTATTATTAGCATTATTTAATTGGTTATTCATTCTCCCATGTGTTTAT